AACATACAAACAAAAATGATGCGATAATAATATAAAATAATTGGATAAAAATGTAAATTAATGCTATTGGATAAAAAAATAGAAAAGTAAAAATAAAAGAAAAAGTTTTAAATGAACATTACTGCGCTAAAATATAACATGATATAACTGATGAAAGGTAGAATGGTAACAATATGTAGTTGTAGTAGGACTTCTGCTTCTTCTTTGTCATGGCAATTCTTTCCTGGGGTTTGGATTCCAGTCCAGTACATTACTACTCATTTTTATGTTTATTTGTTGTAGTTCGTTGATTAATTTATCATTTTGATTTATTTTATTATTGATTTCTTGATATTTGGATAGACTTCCGAACGAAGTGTTGTTTTGGTTGGGTCTATCACTTTCTTTGGTATCTTGTGGGGTAATTTCAGCTTTTGTTTCTTCTAAGAGTGCTGTTAATTGTTGTTCGAAATTATCTATCTCTTGACTTTCTTCGATTACTTCCAGATCTTGTTCGAATGTTTCTCCCTCTGTTGTTGTCTCAGATAATGATTGTTCATTCTTTATTTGAATATTTTCAGTACTATTCTCGTATTCGGAAAGAGGATATACTTTCTCAAATTTATCTTCGCAAAACCAGTAAGTATTTTCATGTATTTGTCGAAGATATTCTTGAAAATAATTTTCTCGTATTGTTACTAACAGAAATTGTTTGATTTCTTTAATGAGGGCCATTCTATATTTTTTCTCGACCTCTTCTCCGGTTTCGTGATATCGAATTCGTTTTCGAATATATGAATTGAGAAATATTCATATGAATTCTTTAGTATTTATCTGAAAATAATTTTTAAGTTTCTCATATTGTATTTGACAATATTGCTGGAGCTCTTCTGTACTGATAGCCACGTTGGTAAGTGTTTCTTTTGAGGATAATTTCTTTTACCACTCAATTACTTTATATTGATTGTTTTTTTATTATATTCCAAGATGACAGGAATATCGAAGATAGCTGATTCTAATTTTGTTTTGAGAGCTTATCATATTATTTTTTTAAACCAGGTCCAAGTAATTTTATTTAAAGTTCTTCTGACATTTCCGTTGATTTGGATTTGATGTTTTTATTTTATCAGTAAGTGTTTGATGATTATTATGTGACTTAATTCACATGCGTATATACTAAATTTTCTTTTGTTACTTTCTTTTGGTATTTAATAGGAACTTTAATATTCTCCCTCGGGTAGATATTATAGATCTTTCTTGCCGTTCCTTAACTTTTGAATCTGTTTGGATCAGAACTGGTAACGGTCTTTTCTAATAGTATAGGCAGTGATTATTTGTTCGTCGATATAGTCATCAAGATCAATTTCGATTTTGATTTTCTTTAGTTTCTGTAGAGTTTCTTGGCTGAAATAATAGGTATGTTGTACAATGATTTTTGCCTTCATTTAATAATGTTAACTTCGATGTTGGTTTGCTTCACTTAGGGATCTATCTCGCTTCAGATGATCCCCCTGCTGTGAGTATCAAGTGTTATGATGGTGCTAATTTCATAATAAATTAATAGAAGAGAATTCTCTCTTCTATTTTTAATATAATTAGAATGTTTCTTTATTATAATTAAGTTATATTTATTTATTAATGACAAATAACTGTTATTACTAAAAGATGTTGGTGATCTTCTTAGTGTGATTAAATTCTAATTGTACTTTATATCCTTAGTGATGTAAATGCAATTAATTCAATAAATTTAATAATTAAAGATAATTATGCACAAGTAATATTATTTTAAAGTGATAAGATAGATTTTAAGTATTATTGATTTGATATAATAACTATATAGAACAAGTTATTTTGCTAGCTGTATCTTGATCAATTGATACTTTATTTTTGAGAGCAAGAGCAGCTTTATATATATTGTTACCATTCTACCTTTCATCAACCATATCACACTATATTTTATCGCAGTAATATTCATTTAGACTTTTTCTTTTATTTTTACTTCTCTATATTTCTCATATTTTTATCCAATAGCATTAATTTATACTTTTTATCCAATTATTTTACATTATTATCGCATTATTTTAGTTTAGATTTCATCATCATTTAATTTACCAATCAATTCATAC